ATTCTATGATTCTATGTTACACCACAGCTGGCACACGAACTGGCTCATGTGGGCAGTGAGCAAGGCAGAGTGCTCAGGGAGCACCTTTTGCCTCAACTGAGGAAGGAGCAGTCCTACAATTTTCATCTGAATTCAAGGCTTTCAATTATTCCACATGCTGCAGGCCTTCTGGAGGCACGTCTCTTAGCAGGTTGACAGGAACCATCATTCACCACTTCATATTTATCCAAGAACGGTAAAATGAAAAGGTAGGAATGAAAATTTCACTGTACACAGTCTTTGCTTCTAGGAGGAAGAAGAAAGGATGTCATCTGACTCTGCAAAACTAGCAACTCCACACACTGTCTGCTTGTACACATCCTGGGGAAAGGGAAGTGAGAAATAAGCAGAAATCTTTCCCTGTCCTGACCTCCCAGATTTTTCTATTTTATTCTAAACGTTTCAGAGAGGAAACAGTGTCAAAAGTCATTAAGAAAATGCAAGAACATAGGACAATCCTTTGAAAGTACTGAAGCTGAGGGAGGCTAAAACATCTTTCTCAGCACTGACCAAAAAAAATCAGCACAGATGACAACAATGTTTGAACATGTAGCAGTACATTTCTGACCTAAACATTAAGCTGTATCTTAATCCCAGTATTGCAAAACGAAAAGCCAAGGCCTGTGACTCAGTGGTCACAACGATTCAAGAATAAACGAACATAAATTACAGGGTAGACTGTTCAGCATTTTTAATAGACATAAACATGCTACGAGTCCAGTTCCTTAAGTGCAAAATTATATTTCATTTGTTTCGCACAAACGTCAGAACACACGAGATCTAACACAACACCAAGGTGTTCAACTTAAACATTTCCAGAACAGAAAGCAAAGTGAACATTCAATATTTATTTCGTAACTGAGCTCCTCTGTTTTTTGTGGTTCTCTCTAACACCCAGACTACACCTTAAGGCTTTTTGTTAATAAGAAACTGCGTGGATTCCTTCACAGGTACCACGCGATGTGAAGACAGCTAACTGAAAGCACGTTCAGGTCTTTTCTTTACGAAAGGCTTCAGTTTCAGTGGACTTTAAAGCAGGTCCTGAATGGAATGGAATTTTCAGCATAATTCTGCAGTTCTGCTATTCTGACTGTTTTAGAAGTCCCAAAACAGAAGCAACAATACTAAAGAACTATTAAGAAAAAACATTAGTGGGCAAACTAAGAAAAAAAAAAAAAGCTGCAGAGCACTTACTGGTGAACAAAGGCAATTGCAGGATTTTTCTCAGAAGTTTTTTTTTAAAAAAAAGCACACACTCTGTGTTCAGAATTTAAACTGCAAAGTAAATGTTTAAAGTAAAATTTGACACCCCTGAAAATAGGGGGTTATTCTGAAGCATTTCATTAACTGCCTGCAATAACTAGTCATTTTATAGATAGATGCCACATTCCTTAGCCACATTCTGAAACACATTTCCTTACATAGCAAGAGGATAACCCTTTTTCAAACCAATATTGCTTGCACATAGTTATTGATGAGCTCGACTAGCTGCAGAATAGCAAACATCCAATTATTTAACAATATAAATATTGATTACTAAAGTTTTCATCATAAGTATAAAATCTCTATGTAAAACTACATGCTACAACCTGTCTGTACAAAGGCCAGGAAAAAGGGTTTTTTTATTTTCTTATAACAAAGTGCTGCTGCAGAATTGACTGATTTGTTGTGGACATTTCTGAAGAAATACAGATTGTTTGGCTCAGAGTATTTCCCTGCAAAGAATCTAAGTTCTTCTCAGAAGATTACAAAGCAATTAGTTTCAGGCTGCTCAATTAAAAAGAAAAAAACAAAACAAAACCCCAAAACCCCTCTTGAGTTATGGCTGTGCAACCAAGTAGGCAAATTTTCATTTTCTCTGAACTATTTCCCAGTTTGCACTATTACTTTATTACTTCAAAAGTTTCCATCTACATTTAGTCTGCACAGAGCACCATCAGACAGTACCTGTGTCCCAGCTCACGCAGTTTAAGTGGCTGTGCTCTACCTGTGGGACCTGGCCATTTGAATGTGTCTGATGTTCTGACAAATGGATCAGGAATGAATGGCCAGGTATCTCCTCAGCAGAGGACCCTAACAACTTCTTAAATTACTCCAGCTGTGAAGCAGCACTTGTCTGTGACCGCCCCCCTAGGAAGCCCCATTTTAAACACAGTATCTTGTCCTCTTCCCTCCATCAGAGGCATGGGATGGAGTGAAAGGGGGAAAACCTCTAAGGCAAGAGTCCAAAAGAGGTGTTCATCTCCCACTTGAGCTTTAAAATACCTCTTCCTTTATATAGTAAGGCTACCACGTCAGATTTTCCCAGATATCCTTTTTTACACCTAGACTTTCAAGTAGAAAGAAGAGAACTTGTCCATTTACTCGGGATTTCCAGGTGCCAGGCAGTCCAGAGCAAGAGCAGCATCTGACAGGCTGACATACCTGGAAGCCCAGAACGAGCACTCAGACCAACTTTGTGTTTAGTGTACACCAGTACAGCGACTGGCACATCCAAACTGTGCTGGTTTTACAGAGTGTGTGCTGCAGCCCGTGTTTCAGACTCCAGGGAGTCAAGTCAGAGCAAGAACAGAGCTGTGTGACATCTGGAACCTGCGGGACAAACAGCCACTGTCATAATGCCTGGCACAGCCTGGACACCCGGGCTTGTGCTACTTGTGTGGTAAGGAATCCAGGAGCCATACACACCAAGTTATAGTTGGGGAAAGCTAATGATACCAGGAATGTTCCCAAATGTGCCTCCATATGTTCCAGGTCAAGCTCCAATATTCTGCATTATATCATGGTAAATATGACATTTATACCTTTAATTTTTCCACATAAAATATCAGGTATACCTATCTGTATGGAAAAGACAGTATTTTTTTAATTGGTCCATAAAACTGCAGTGCATCAAAATCAGATTTTGAGCATTTGTTCAGCAGCTGCTAAATGAAAAAGAAAGTTTTCTGTAGCTGGTGGAAATCGCTTTTGTTTCAGGGCCTCAGAATTAAGGGTTGGTTTTTCATTGCCATCGGAAACTTCGGTAAGTGAGGCTAAAGTAGCCAAGATTTCTTTTGTCTTCAGAGAAATATCCTTGAAGAACAGAAAAACAAGCAACCATGAATACAGTATTAGCTGTTATAATGTTTTAACATAGACTCATTAAAAAAAAAATCAATAAAGAACAAAAATAAAATAATGATAAATAACTTTTTTGTTTTAAATAAAAAGACCCTATTAATTTTAAGGCAAATTTGCAAGAGCTCTTCAGCCTGCTCTTGCACTAAGTTGAATAAAGGGAGCACTGCCACTCCGCAGGCTCCTCTTGCTGGCATAAGTGAGCAATTCTGACTGATAATCTACTAGGTAGGAGAGGAAGTCAAAAAGCACTGTCATAAATATCAGGCTTTATAGCTGAGGAGCCAATATTGACGATACTATTGACAAGGTATAGAGCAAAACACATGCTTTGGAGACTAAAACTGGGAAATTAATTTTACTGGAAGTCTTATAATCAATACAATTTCTGCAGTTTCTTCAGCAATGTGGTTACCCAAGAGAGAATATAAACCAAGTATGTCATCCCTAAAAACATGTATGAAGAATAAAAATGCTAATTTGTAAAAAGGCAGAGGCTACAAGAGATCAACTTATTCCCAGGGACAATCTTCCTCCTATTCCCCTCCTCCTACCAAGATCTAGTGATAGATGTAATTTAACTAGATTTAAAAATAAAATATTAACCTTAATGACTTGGCTGTCTGATTTATCTGGATCTTCTGCAGACTGAACAATTAGTTGTCCAATTTCTTTGTGAAGTTTTCCCATTGTCATTGCCTCTGAGTAAGAAAAAAAAAAAAGCACACATTCACATAAAATGACTATTTCTGTCACATAAAATGACCATTTCTGTGATATCTAGAAATGTATATGAATAACAAGCCAAAACAAGGAGTGCTCTTCATGACTGCCATTTGAAATCTATCAGTAAAGGCAGTGACCTGATGCATCAGCAGCCATGCCAGCACAGTTGTCTACCTCTAAAGCAGTCCTAAGCAAGATGACAAGCAACACAGAAGCCTTCCTTTCAAACAGTCCCCAATCTCCAAGTATTTAGTACAATATTTTTTGAAAGACTGATGCAGCATCTCTGCATTCAGCAATCCCCAGCTGAATGTCCCTTCTATGTGATTGTCTAACATGGCTGTTTATTTCTCAGCTGGACATTGTTGGAAGACGAAGCATGTCTTTCCAAATTCCAAGTTTCACCAGTCTTCCAGGGTCTCCATAAAACTGAAAGACAGAAACTTAATATACTGGCTTTTCAGAACCAGGATGGAAGAAGGATCAAGATTGCCTGACCTACAGCAAGGTTCATCAGTTACTATCAAGTCTGAAATCAATGGTCACTAAATCCAAAATATAAAAAGCAACCAACCTTTTACTACAGGGGAAACAGTGATCTCACTATCAGCCAAATTCACATACACATCGTAGAGGTCTGGTCTACTGTTCACTTCAGAATCTGTAAATCCAGCAATGTAACCTGCAAAGCAGAATTCTGCCAAGATTAAGATCCTCATAAACAAAACCAAGATATTGTGGAACAGGGTGGTCAGACACTGGAACAGGTTGCCCAAGGAAGTTGTGGATGCCCCCTCCCTGGAAGTGTTGAAGGCCAGGCTGGATGAGGCTTTGAGCAACCTGGTCTAGTGGAAGGTGTCCCTGCTGATGGCAGGGGGGTTGGAACTGGATGATCTTTAAGGTCCCTTCCAATCCAAACCATTCTATGATTCTATGAAAATCACAGTCCTAAAGTCTGTTCTGAGAGTATTTGACCAAATACTCATTGGATCCAAGAGGTTGCGTTCTTGACATCAGTCATTTGATGAGTGTGTCCAGCAGAATGATTTGCTCTGATGAGCTTAAATATCAGCTTCTGAAATCTCCTTGATCATGGATGAACCCCTAACATATCATGTGATAACAAAAAGGTTATCAATTTGAAATTTCACTCCTCTCTCTCTCTCTACCTTGCTACTAAAATCATTTATTTGCAAATGAAAAACCACTTTCTCTTTAAAAGAATCTCCACTCAGGAGCCCTTTGTCGGTGTCTAAGCTGGTATTAGATTGGAACAGAGGAATAAAACCTGCAGATTTTCTTATTTATAGCATGCCAGATTTGAAATTTCATCCCTCTCTCTCTCTCTACCTTGCTACTAAAATCATTTATTTGCAAATGAAAAACCACTTTCTCTTTAAAAGAATCTTCACTCAGGAGCCCTTTGTCGGTGTCTAAGCTGGTATTAGATTGGAACAGAGGAATAAAACCTGCAGATTTTCTTATTTATAGCATGCCAGGTGAGCAAACTTAGAGCAGCTTTTCCTCTGTGGAGGATGTTTAGTGAGCTGAAACAAGCACTGTTGGTAATACAGTAGAAATACTGAAAATGAGTAATCTTCTTGCTCATTATTCCATATAGAGAAGCCTCTTAATTGCCACAGTATGTGTCATGCTGCCTTTGCATAAACCAAGGGCCTCTTCCTGGATTATGTGTTAAGAACTACACATACACAGCAATGTGTCACACAGATCAAACTCCTACAGAGCTGGTGAAGTCTACCTGTGATCAGCAGCCAGAGACCTCACTGGCAGCAATCAGAATAAAAATCTGGAACTTCAGAGTTAGGAACTGAAAACAAACAATTTAAAAAAATCCTAAAAATTAAGTTACTAGTTATATGTAGAATTTGGAAAGGAAGTAGCTGATCTAAAGCGAGCTGCTGCTGTACAACAGTAAGACTTTCAATCCCTCTGAGCACAACATCAAAAAAAGCTGTCTCACAGCTGCTTTGCATCTGCAATTAGGGGTGGGCTGATGTGGATCTACCCAGAAACACGATCTTCTACATACCTGTTTACTTGATTTGCATTTTCTAAAGCAAACGATGTGGTTTAACTTTGAACAGTAGCATTGAGAGCAAAATGACCATTTTTTTTTTCCCCCTCAAAGAGCACTGGTGCAAGACATTACAGAAATAAATATAACCAAAATTTAATTTCAGTTTTGATGAACAGGTCATCACTACCTGTGCAGGCTTTTAAGGCTTCCACTTCCTCCTCATTTAGATGTACATACGAATGAAGAATTGACCAGTCTTGTCGATGCCACACTAAAGCAGGCAAAGTCCTAGGGAAATGAGATCAGTACTTGACACACAGTAGATTTTACCCAGACTAATTAAAGTTTCACAGTATGAAATGCATGTCATAAGAAAGAACTGGTATGGCTAGGTCTCATTTGGCATGTATATACATGAACTACAGAGATTTCTACCATCAGTGCAGAGTTTGTCACCCACTCTACAGTTAAATTTCTCCCAGTTGACAAAACTACGGCTAAAGCCTTAAGGGGTACTTTGCAAGATTTCAATCAACAGGTTTAATAAAGATGCTGGGGAGGGACTTTTGACAAGGGCATGTAGGGGAAATGGTTTTAAACTGAAAGAAGGTAGGTTTGGATTAGACATTGGGAAGAAGTTTACTGTGAGGGTGGTGAGACACTGGAACAGGTTGCCCAGAGAAGCTGTGGCTGCTCCTCCCTGGAAGTGTTCAAGGCCAGGTTGGATGAGGCTTTGAGCAACCTGGTCTAGTGGAAGGTGTCCCTGCTGATGGCAGGGGGGTTGGAACTGGATGAGCTTTAAGGTCCCTTCCAACCCAATCCATTCTATGATTCTTTCCCTCAAATATGGGTATTTCTCTCAATGGAAGTTAAAGACTTGGACTTTTGGGGGTGGGTGGGGAGATAGGGATTGACAAAGTACCTGGTAAATTCCTGGACAGCTTCTATTCTAGGATGGTACACTACAATTCTCTTCTTTAACATCAGTGCTGTATATAAGATAACCGTTTCCATTCCAAACTGAGAAACTATATCTAGAGAAGAGAGGGAAAAATAATCTATAGAATATATACATGCTGATATTATCATTTGTTTTTTGAAGAAGCTTAATGACAACAGCACAGATAATACTGTTGACACTATTTACTTGAAGTACAGGTGAAAACTGCATTATATTTTATATTGTACAAAAGAAATCAGCACAGAGACTTCTGGTATTAACCTTTGATGGAACCAGCAAGATAAGCCTTCCGAGCATCAAAATCTTTGCTGAGGAAAGATCCATTTTCTTCACTTTGGCAGATCCCCTTTGTAAGGACTGCAATGTAACTCTCCATCATTTTAACTGGACTTCCATGCTTCAAGTAGATTCTGTGTGAAAAGGAAGAGTCTGCTATTTTGATTGCAATCAGTACCAGCAGATACATGAAAAAAAACAACCCACGGTATCACAAAGAACAGTATTATTGGTAAGAATTCTTATTTTGGACACTTGGTTGAGGTTTTAAATACTGAACCAGAAGTCTTTCAACATGCACACAAAACCGTGTCAGTCTTCTAGGATGAAAAACAACCTCATATTTTATTTTGAGTTTCCCATTTTATGAAAGAACCAACATTTCCAAACATAGAAACATAGCACAAAGGTGTAAGCAGGTGTCCAGACTAAGGATTCTTTGCAGACTTGGAAGGTACCTGCTTTATGAAAAAGCAACTACTAGAGTAACTCGTGCTATTACATGCAGACCACAGGACTAGTTGTTAATTTATTATCTAAGTATCATTAGTCATTCTTCTATATTCTTAGTTAAATGATAAAAGAGAAATATAAACATACGTCATTGGTACTCATTTAAAACAAACCAGCAAAAGCCACACGCTTTCAGCTGTCTTCCAGACAGCAGAGACACACCATGACCTGTTTTACAGGTTAAGGTACTTCAGGAGTAGTGTTGAAGCTCTCAGCTATCCATTTTCTGTATTAGCTACAGTACCAAGCTATGTCACATGTGAAACTCAACTGTCAAGTTTAGAGGAATCCATCCTGGATTTGAAAAGAAGTATTAGCTTATAAATCAGCATTAATGTGTAACACAGGCAATCTAAATATTTCATTTATCAGTGAAAAAGAATAAACTCAGTTTTTCAACACCCTACAGAACTAGTAAGCCTGACAGCATTCCCCAGTCTGTGATACAATAATCACACAACTGCATCCAATTAGGTGCAAAATCTCAGGGAATACCCTTGGTATCAAGAATCGGGACCCAACTGATTCAGGAACTGAAGGAAAAGCAAAGGAAGATGCAGAGGGAGAGCATAAGAATTGGGATGTGGAGAAAAGTGAGTGAATGGGACAAGGGAAGGAGATGGCAGCCTGGCTGGAACAAGGGTGAAGACAGAGCAACAGACCTGGAGAGGGATAGGGCTCTCATTTTCCTAGAGGAAAAGCAAACAATGCCCTGGGTGCAGTGACTAGTTCAGAGGAGCTGCAGGAAAAGTCTGTAGCAGAGGCGGAGGGATGCAAGTTCTCCACCATACACATAGTGACCTGTGACTACACAGCACCAACCTCTTCATAAATGTTTATACTTTTTAAAAATATGAAGGAGAAAATTAGTGTGTGTGGGGTGGTGGTGGTGGTGTGTCTGGAGAAGACATTAAAACCTGCTGGGCACCTGACTTTCACTCAACAGTTACTGCATGAACTCAAGATAAGAAGCTCAAATCAGAGATTTATATAATCTGATTCAGTTTGTAGGACTGAGTTTCCAGCAGACAGACCAAATGCAAACACAACACAATTTAATCTTTTGCCTTGGCAAAATCAAAGCACGCACACAGCAGTTCCTCAAAACAGCTGGGATACAGACCTGCACAGTATCCTAGTGAAGGCTGCATATTTCTCTGGGTTGAAGTCTTTGGCCGTCAGAACAATGGAGAAGTGGGTCACCTGGGCAAGACACACAGGAAAATACACAGCTTATTTAATGACCCTGTATGAAAAGTCTTTTTCATATTATCAAACTTACTGCAGTACTCTGACAAAGTGTTTTTTCAATTAAAAAAAAAAAAAAGAGAAGTAGCAACAAATCCAAGTTACTAACTGCAGAAAAGGACTGGGTAACGGATTCCTGGAGTGACTCATTTCCACTGAGTCAGATCTAGTACATACCATCTTTTGCTTAATCTACTCTGTAAGAGTTGCTTTCCTTTAATGTCATGAGATCAGTTTAAAAGAGAGAAGGACATTATTCTTCCCAACAGCAGGTAGGAAACTTCCAGGATTTGTCACCAAAGGAGGCTGTGGAAGCTGACAGCATCAACATATTTAGAAATAGATTGGAAAAAAAATCATGGACAGCAGGCCCACAAACAGAAATACTGTAACTTCCTTAATTGAATGCCTGTGGGCTGGGACAGTATGAGACTGAACAATGACTAGGCTCACGTGTCCTCCTTAAATAGCATCTCCCACCACCACTGTCAGAGACAGCACTGGGACACATTATTTTATTTTACTTTATACCTTTAAAGTTCATACGAGATGCAAGCAACATTTTGCTGAGGGCATGCAAAATTATCACATTAATCTTTCTACTTAACAATATAGCATGAAATATGAAAATTGAATAAACTTAACAGACAATTTAATGATCTTCGTAACAGAGAAAGTATAGAAGATACGAGCATATTTGCAGTCTTCTATTTATCAATGCAGCAGAAAATAAAGCGCCTGTATAACTCAACCCTTTGGAAAGAAAACCATCAAGTTCTATACAAACAAAATTTTGGACACTATGAATGACCCTTTGTAGAGCTTCTTCAAACAAACAAACAAAAAAAGCTGAACGTGAAATGCAAAGTAACTAGAGATAATGGCACAAAATAGCATTTCCATTGGGTAATGAGTATCTCAACCCCTCTGCAATTCCATTCAGTACATATCTCGGTGAAAAACAAAATGCACGGACTGGTTATACAGCTGGGTAAGACCTGCATCAGAGAGCACACAAAACCTTGAATCCATTCCCTTCCTCACAGCACAGAATGGGAAAACACTGCTAAAGCTACCTGAGGAAACTCTGCAGAAGTCTTCCCTGGACTGAAAAACTAGCTGGCCAAGTCCTACCTTTTTCAAGGCTGAAGAATCTTGAACTTCCACAGTTGTGATGTAGAACCATGACCTTTTATACTGCCCAAATACAAATGTATGAAGCAATTTATTTTCATCTGTAAGGCAGCACTTTCGCAGCAACAGACTCCTCAGTTCGGCTGTTACAGATGGATAACACCAAACCCACAAAGCATCTCCGTTGGTGTCTTTTTCTATGGTGGAAAGATGTTCACTGTGAGAATGCCAAACAGCAGCAAGGAAGTAAATCGATGGGTTAATCAGGTTTGTTTCCTGGAATCAGATTAAAATTCCACTTTACCCTGACCCTAGACATCCAGTTCTGCCGCTACGGTTTAAAGCTGTAGGGCAGCACTTGTGCTACAGGTTTTATTTTTTAAATGTTAATAAACATTTACTCTTGACCTGCTTCATGAGGTCAAAACAGCACCAGGAGTTTGAATACACATCCACATGAGCAGGGATTGACCTACAAGCACCCAGACCAGCATATTTATGATTTCCCCTGCTTTTCCCATTTCTGTTTTCATAACAAAACCTCAGAACCCGTGAATTTAAGACACTTTGGCTGAGTTTAGCTTTGTAAGAGGCTTCATTCAGCAAGCGGGTACCCCCTGGCACAACTGCAGGCTG